TGTGTACAGTGCAAGCAGCCACTTTCCAGCTGTACACAGTTGACTTCGTACTACTGTCAGGGAAATAAAAGGGTATCAGGTCCCTGTGTTGATTCTCTATCTTCTGAAATTGTAGCAGTTCACATTAGCTGGAGTCCGTTGATTTGCGATGTGTACCAAGTGTGTCAGGTTCCTTATCTGGTTCTGTGACAGTAAGTTTGTTAGATCGTCAAAACATAAAGCTAAGACATTGGAGACCCGTCAATTTTCCCCTATTTGATGATGACAAACTTAGAAATTGATAACCCACATTTAGGGCAAAATTAACCAGATGAAGCAACAGGAACTTCACAAGTTCCCCTTGACTCTATGCTTCCCCCTTAATCAGATTCATGTTTCATTTCCATTATACCTCCCCCTTTTGGAATCATTAAAAATAAACAAGCAAGCAATCGGCATAAAGAAGTCTAGCCTAGCTAACTCATGTCACATATGTGCACAGAACATGATAGAAAAGAGAAACAGAGAAACATAAGCATTAAACAGCAAAAGAGGATAGTTTTTGATAAAAATATATGCCTTTGCTATACAGTAAAGGCAAAGATTGGACTGTTTTCAGTGGGAGCAGTACAGGTGCATCCCATCCACATCACAAAAAGAAACAAAAACCACTACCATAGTCATCAAAACAAAAACAGAAAATCCAGAAACTGGTCACTGAAAAGACTGCATAGGGGACACTAGGAGGAAAGGGCTTGGAAGCTGCAGTAAGGGTGTTAAGAACTAGATCTATTCGGGCATTCGCCGACATTTTCTCGGTGAGCAGTTTCTCCTACAGGTTCTCCACTTGTGCCCTAAGATCAACATTTGCTTTGGTCAGACGAGCTATTTCCTCATTTGACCCCGGGGACCCTTGGGCTTGCTGACCTTCCAGGATAGCGTTCCTTGCCTTCAGCCTTCGAATCTCCTCAGTTGCACTGTTTTGAGCATTGATGAGTTGAGAGATTTTCGAAGTGTTGCCAATTCCTCCATTCTTTTCCACACACTCACATTCCTCCAAAGTTGTTTGAGAGAAAGTCTGCTTCTTGGTCCCTACTCTGAACTGTCCCAATGGCACTTTGAAGAACTTAAAGACGGGCGTAAGAAGAAACCCATATGGAAGACCATGGTTGTCATCCTTGAAAGTCGCCACCTTCTGCATATGCTCAATCATGATGGCAGGCAAGTTTACAGCTTTAAATCCATCCAATGCTTCCATCAGATATAGGTCAGATTTAGAAATAATGGACCTTCTCTCAGCACGGGGTAGAAGAACCTTGTTCACCAGATCGAACAATAACTGATAAACGGGAAGCAAGGCTTTCTTGTGAACCCGTTCCCACTGCTGGGCGGCACCTTCCTACACAATAGCATTCCTAAAATTTGACCCGCAGACATCCTTCAGAGAAGATTTACCAACAGCAGGGACCTTAAGAATGTCCCCAAGCAGAGCAACATCAAACACAATATCCACCCCATTAACTAAAGCACAAATATGGTCAGTGTCAACAGGAAAGAGGTCGGCATAGCTTTGGACCTCATCCTCATAGACCTTGGGCGCTTCCATTGTGAGCAGATGTCCCCACTTCTGAAACTCGACCATCTCAATTACTTGTCTCATGCCACCCATGTCAGAAATTGCTGGGTCAAAAGTGTGACCCACAAGACCTTTTGGTGCCTCAATTGTTCTGTAGCAGACATACTCTCACCTTTCACTCTCTTTGAAGAATCAGGTTCCCTCACAGTTTCCAACTTTCTCTTTCCAGACTTCACACTCGATTTTCCTTGTCCACTGGACTTGTCCAACACATCCTCATCAGATAATGATTGGTCACTCACTACTCTTTTCATCTTTCCAACACTTTTCACAGATCTTGAACTTGGAGTAGCAACACCTTCCTCTGAAGCAGAGTGCTTCTTTTTCTGGGACCTTTTAACCAAGGAACTAGGTTCCTCTGTTGCTTCCTCATTAACTTCCACCACAGGAATATCCTTGTCACATACCATTTCTCCATTTTTTTACCAGCCTTTTCTTTTTCTGCTTACTGCTCTTTTTGCTCTTTTGTAGGGCAGACTTATAAGCCTCTTTTGCTTGCAACCTAGTAGTAGGTCGCTTAGTAGAAGACGCAGGAGTGAGTAATGCCCTTCTCTTGACAATAAAGGCATCCGGAGCAATATTATCGTGTTCTTCATCATCACTAGACCTCATCTCGGGAACCAGAATTTCCAAGGGCTCAACAGCGAAGTGTGGAGAGGGAGCAGGAGCAAAACTGACCTGGGAAGAGGGTCCTTGACCTATTTCCTCTGGAGAGAGGTTAGGTCCTTCACGAGAAGTCATAGTAGTTTCTGCTGGTGCAGAGCTTTCAAAAAGCACCACCGCTCCTTCTTCCACTAACCTCTGTGTCTCATTCCTCTGAGACTTGGGCACACTAGAGATTACCTCAATCACTATTCCATCTGCAGATACGACCAGTATGTTTGCGACGCCCTCTTCCTCTAGAGACTCCATGGTTACCACAAACTCAGGAGCATGAACATCTGAAGATTGATCAACACTAACCCCTGAGACCTCTACAATCTGTGGAATTTTACCTTATTCTCCACCCTTGCTTTGGTCGGTGAGAATCTTAGTCGATAGAGATGAAGGATTATCGAATTTTGGAGTGAGAGAGAGGTCTGAGAGAGTCATATGGGAACTAGAGGGTATACGGAAATCTGGTTGGGAGGTATTTTCAGTGGTTGAGACTGGAATGGTGACAGAGACTTTATCAGGGCCGGAAGAATCAAGGGTTTTCTCTGGGGTGTTCTCAGCTAAAAAAGGGATTATCAAGTGATTTTCAGCCATTGCAAAGATACAGTTGAGAATTTTTTGGAGAAAGTCTGAAGAGAGAAGTATGATCATTCAAGAAGAAGAGAGGGTTTTAATGAGAGAAGATAATTATGAGGGAGAGACGGTTCTGAAACGGCGGTAGATATGTGGGGAGTTGCAACATTTCAGAGGGAGATGAAAGGATTTGAAATGAAAAGACATGACATACAGGGTCTGAAAAGGTAGATGACATGACACTTGATTTTTGCACCTTTTTAAAATATGTATAAAAAAAATGCACAAGGCTACTAACCTGGGGTACAAGAACCAGGTTCTTGACCTGTTTTTGAAAATTTAATCCTCTTTTACCACCCATGCAGTGTATCTACAGCTTCTATAATCATCATACGTGTCTACCTGCAATGGTATTGAAGTGAGTTAGACTTGGCTGGAAAACACTTTAGCTAATGTTACCTGAGTGTGACTATCATAGCCAACTGAAGGGAATCAGGTTCTCAATTTGGCTTTATTAGCCCCAGCTCCAGCCTATTTCTTTCAAAATATTCTCTGCTCTATGCTTTGGTGAAGATATCTGCAATTTGGTCTTCTGTACTGCAAAACTTCATGCAGATAAGCCCTTTTTCCACATTGTCTCTCAGAAAATGATGTCTCACATCAAGGTGCTTGGTTTTTTTGTGTTGAACCCGGTTCTTGGCCATGTTGAGTGAATTGGTGTTGTCATATAGGAGAGGCACACAGTCAGTGTACACACCAAAATCTTCCAATTGTTGTTTGATCCATAAGAGCTGAGCACAGCAGGAAGCTGCAGCAACATATTCTGCTTCAGCTGTTGAGAGAGCTACTGAGTTTTGCTTCCTTGTGCCTCATGAGATGAGACATGATCCTAGGAAGTGAGCCATTCTAGAAGTACTTTTTCTGTCCACAAGATAACCTGCATAATCAGCATCAGCATACCCAACAAGATTAAAATTATCACCTGAAGGGTAGTACAGGACCAGGTCCTGTGTTCCCTTAAGATATCTCAAAATTCTTTTGGCAGCCTTCAGATGAGATTCCTTGGGATTTGACTGAAACCTTGCACATAGCCCTACACTGAAAATAATATCAGGTCTGCTGGTAGTGAGGTAGAGAAGAGACCCAATAATTCCTCTGTACATGGTTTGATTCACAGCAGAGCTAGATTCATCCATGTCCAGTCGAGCGACAGTATTAATGGGAGTATCAATTACTTTTGATGCTTCTATATCAAACCTCTTCAGAAGCTCCTTGATGTATTGCTGCTGGCAGATGAATGTACCCTTTGTGGACTGCTTCACTTGAATACCCAAGATTAAGTTCAACTCACTCATCATGCTCATCTCAAACTCACTTCCCATGAGTTTTGCAAATTCTTCACACAGTGAATCAGCTGTTGCCCCAAAAATGATATTATCAACATATACCTGAACGATGAGCAGTTTCCTCCCTCGTTTCTTCAGAAATAAAGTATTGTCAATTCTTCCTCTTGTGAAACCATTTCCTAAGAGAAACTTTGACAATCTTTCATACCAAGCTCGAGGAGCCTGTTTCAACCCATACAATGCCTTGTCCAATTTAAACACATATTCAGGATGTTCATGACATTCAAAACCTGGAGGTTGCTTTACATAGACCTCTTCCGTAAGGAATCCATTAGAAATGCACTTTTGACATCTATTTGGAACAGAGTGAATTCCATATGGGATGCAAATGCAATGAGGATTATGATAGCTTTCATGCGAGCGACAGGAGCAAAGGTCTCATCATAATCAATTCCTTCTTCTTGATTGTATCCTTGAACCACTAGCCTAGCCTTGTTCCTTGTAGTGTTTCCATGCTCATCAAGCTTGTTCCTGAATACCCATCTGGTTCCTATGATTGTTCTATCTGAGGGTCGAGGTACCAGGTGCCATACATTGTTCCTTTCGAACTGATGCAACTCATCTTGCATGGCAGTGATCCAGTCTGCATCCTTTAGGGCTTCCTTGATATTTTTGGTTCTATTTGGGAAAGAAAGGCTGAGAAGGCAAGTGAATTTCAGGCTTTTGATCTTGTTTGTACTCCTGAGTCTAGAGGGGTGAATATGTTATCAAGAGGATGGGAGCTTTTGTGTTTCCAGTTGGGCACTTGAATCTCATTCGTAGAGGAGCTGGTAAGTCTGATTGGTACTCTCGCGTTCTCCTCTCAGCAACCTGTGGAGTACCTTGAACTGCATCAACCACTCTTTCTTCAGCTTCAGTTGTTGTGATTGTGGCACCTGGTTCATCTCCAATTGAAGAAACTTCATTATCTTCACTTGACTCATCAAGTCTGTCTTTCCGTTTGCCATATCTATGACTTCACCTGGAACTGACAAGGGCTCTCCATCTTGATCACCCTTGTTACTTCTCTCACAGGAAGGATAGGACTCGTCAAAGATTACATGCACACTCTCCTCTACACACTGAGTTGTCTTATTGTACACTTTGTAGGTTTTACTTCGAGAGGAATATCCCAAGAAGATTCCTTCATCACTTTTGGCATTGAATTTTCCAAGATGATCCTTTCCATTGTTGAGAACCTAGCATTTGCACCCAAATGTTGTTAAATGAGTCAGCTTGGGCTTCCTTCCATTCAGCAACTGATAGGGGGTTTTGTTCAAGAGAGACCTGATCATGCACCTGTTTACCAAGTAGCAGGCAGTGTTAACAGCTTCAGCCCAGAAGTTCTTCGCTATCCCACTATCGATCAGCATTGTCCTTGCCATTTCTTCAAGAGTTCTATTCTTCCTTTCCACAACTCCATTTTTCTGTGGAGTTCTGGGGGCGGAGAAGTTATGTGTAATGCCATTCTCATTGCAAAAATCATCAAACTTGGCATTGTCAAATTCTGTCCCATGATCTGATCTTATGTAGGCTTCTTTTGAATCCATCTTCACTTGAATTTTCTTCACAAATGCTACAAAAACTTCAAAATTTTCATCTTTTGTTCTGAGGAACAAGGTCCAAGTGAATCTCGAATAGTCATCCACTATCACAAAAATGTATCTTTTTCCTCCTCTGCTTTGCACTCTCATAGGCCCACATAGATCCATGTGAAGGAGATCAAGTGGTTTTGAGGTGCTGACATCCTTTTTTGGCTTAAATGAAGATTTCACATGCTTCCCTCTGGCGCAGGCATCACAAACTTTGTGCTCCATGAACTTTGATTTGGGTAGACCACGGACCAGGTCCTTCTAAACAAGCTTATTCAGTAGAGAAAAGCTTGCATGCCCCAGTCTTCTGTGCCACAGTTCAGCATCATCATCAACAACTTTCAAGCAACTCAGATCACCATTTTATAGGGATTCAAAATCAGCAACGTAGATGTTCTTGTATCTCTTGGCCACCAGTACCACTTCACCCATTACTAGATTAGTAATTGTGCATATTTTTGACAAGAACTCCACCTTATTTCCTTTATCACATATTTGAGAAACACTCAAGAGACTGTACTTGAGGCCATTGACGTAGTACACATTTTCAATTGAGTGAGTGAGTGATTTCCCAATTTTCCCAACTCCAAGAATGTACCCCTTTTTATCCATTGCCAAAGGATACACTCCCTCCTTGCAGGGATTTTAGTGAAAGAAAGTCCATGGTGTTCCCAGTTATGTGCTTTGAACATCCACTATCCATGAACCATTGTTGACTACTTCCTTTCACTGTTCCCTGCACAAGAAAATCAGGAGTTAGTTTTAGGAACCCAAGCAAGTTTGGGTCCCTTGTAGTAGGCAAGAGGACGAATAAGAGCTCTTTTAGTCCATGCAGGTAACATGCGTTTTTTATGGGTGGCACCTGGTCCCTTATCAGTAGTTACTTTTTTAGCAAACACTTTGTTTTTTTGAAGAGACTGGACCCTGGCTTGGAAATTTTCTTTGAAATGCCCATTGTTCCCACAGTGGGTACACAGCCAATTATCCGGTACAGTAACATACTTGCTATGCGGGTTGTAAGGAATTCTCTCCCTTTGAAACCCAATTCCCTGCCTTTTACCACTATTATTAACATACACGATAGTAATAGCCTCTGAGGACCAGGTCCACTTAAGGGACTTCTCAAGATCATTTTTTACTCTATCCAGTTCTGCTTGGAGCTGCCTATTTTTCTCAAGTTCAGCACACAAACTAGTTCTCACAACATTTAATTCGTTTTCAAGCTTAAAATGTGCCTCACTAGCTACTTCTTTCATTTTATCAGAATTTCCAGGCCTACACTCGGCTCCAAGTTCCTCTATAGTTTCCCTCAAGTCTACAATCACTATTAGGAAGTTATCTCTCTCCTGCTCAACAGCAGTCACTCTCTCCATTAGGGCATCTTTTTCTTTACTTAGGTTCTCAATGGTTTCTTTCAAGTCAACTACTACTACCACCAGATCATCTCTTTCATGTTCTACACTAGTGATTCTCTCAGTTAGAACTTTCTTCTCATTTTCCAGATGATCTATAGTTTCCTTCAAATCAACCACACACACTACCAAATCATCTCTAGTTTGTTCAGCTTCTCCTAGTTCTAAGGTCAAGGCATCTTTATCCTCTACAAGACTATGATAGGCATCAATTAATACGTTGGCTAACGACAGGAGTTTCTTAGGAGAGTAGGATTTCAGATTTCTCTGTACATCCCTGAAGTTTACCTCATCATTGTCATCATCTTCATCATCGTCTGATTGAGCCATTAAAGCAAATATTGAATCATATTCATTTCCTTCACTTTCAACTGCCATCATGGAACTATCACCTGCATCAGTTTCTCCTTTAGACTCACTTGAGGAATCTCCCCATGCTGCAAGAGCTTGCTTCACAACGTTGTTAGTGGCATTCATCCTTTTGAAGCATTTGTCAGGAACCAGGTTCCTTTTGGCTGCTTTATCAGGGTTGTACTTGAAGTGTTCTTGCTTCAGGAGAGGACAATCTTTGATGAAATGCCCTGGCGTTCCACACTTATGACAGAGGTCATAAATCTTTGGTCTGCTAGTGGTGCCCCTTTTTGGTATTCCTCCATTTCTTCTAACCATCTTTTGAAATCTTTTGGTTAAGTAAGCCATGTCACTGTCCTCCTCACTTGAGCCATTGCCCTCAGCTTTGAGTACCATGTTCTTTTCCTTCTTTGGTTCTCTTCTTTCACTGTCCTTCTTCTTCTTCATTTCGTAAGTTTTAAGATTTCCAACTAGGCCATCTATAGTTAGGGCCTGCAGTTCCTTTGCCTCAGTAATGGCATTCACTTTACTCTCCCACGAACTAGGCAGAACACTGAGAATTTTTCTCACAAGCTTGTTCCTAGGAATGATTTCACCGAGCGAATGCAGCTCATTTATGATGGAGGTGAATCTTGTGTGCATGTCTTGAATAGATTCATCGTCTTTCATCGCGAAGAGCTCATACTCAGTGGTGAGCATATCAATCTTAGATTGCTTTACTTGAGTGGTTCCCTCATGTGCTATTTGCAAAGCTTCCCATATCTCCTTGGCGGATTGACAAGCTGAGATCCTGTTATATTCATCAGGTCCTATACCACACACCAAAATTTTCTTGGCAGGAAAATTTTTCTCCACATCTTTCCTGTCTGCATCGTTGTATTCCTTTATGGTCTTTAGCATCGTCTCTAGAGGATCTCCGACCTTCTTCGTTGGGACATAAGGACCATCACATATAACATCCCACAACCCAGAATCTTCTACCATGATAAAGTCATGCATTCTTGTCTTCCACCACCCATAGTATTGCCCATTGAACCTGGGTGGTCTATACATAGACTGACCTTCTTCAAAATTTGGTGGAGCAGCCATAAGGATCCTTCCTAGGTGTTAGCCTCATAGAAAGAACCCGCTATGATACTAATTGATAGTTTATATGAGTCCACCAAACTATATAGAGACCAGGTCCTCTGTGAGTTTCCACTGAGAAGCTAATAAAACGGTAAGTAAATAAGACAGGGAGTTTTTATGTGGAAAAATCCTTGCTCAAGGGGATAAAAAACCACGACATACACTGGTAGGATATCAACTTCACTATGAGCAACTTTTAGGTTACAACCTATGAAATCTAGGAATTAAACTCTTAATCCCTCACTAACTTGTAATACACCTATTACAAGCCACTTTGCAATACAGCTATTACCAAGACTTCAACTCATGACTAACTCTAGTCACGACACAAACACTAAGGGTTTATGGTTTTACAAGGGGGTTCCTAAGCAACGCTTCTATATAAGAAAATTAGGAATTACAATTACAAAGTTACAACTCAACTAAGGACAACAAGATACTAGATTTAGGAACTGGTCCGTAGTAGTGTTGAACTTTGTTCTTGATGCACTTGAGAATTGAATGCTTGATCTGTGAACGGTTAGAGTGCTTGAATGCTCAAGTTGATTCTCAAGTGTTAAAGTGATGTTTTGTTGTAATTCACTAGTTAATACAACTTGGATGGCATCACTTGAATGAGGTAATCACTTGGTTGGTCAAAGGACAAGTGACTGTAGAACTGTGCTACACTGTTTCTGTGTACAGTGCAGGCAGTCACTTTCCAGTGGTACACTGTTGACTTTGTACTGCTGTCAGGGAAACACAAGGGTATCAGGTCCCTGTGTTGATTCTCTATCTTCTGAAATTGGAGCAGTTCACATTAGCTGGAGTCTGTTGATTTGTGATGTGTACCAAGTGTGTCAGGTTCCTTATCTGGTTCTGTGACGGTAAGTTTGTTAGATCATCAAAACATAAAGCTAAGACATTGGAGACCCAACACTTCAGCTTGAAGGAGTGTAAGTCTTCCCAAGTGCTGTCTTCAGGTGGTGCATTTAACCATTTCACCAAGACTTACGTGATAGCCTTTCCATGCTTCTTGGCTAATCTTCTGTCCATAATAGCTTCAGGTACCAATAGAACATGGACAGAGTCACAGTGCACTATAGGTAATATTGTAGAGGCAGTGTGGTTGCCCAACTTCTTCTTCAACAGGGAGATATGGAAGGTGGGGTGAATCTTAGAATGAGAGGGTAGATCTAAGGTATAAGCAGCAAATCCCACCCTGGCTATTATCTTGAATGGGCCAAAGAACTTTGCTGAGAGTTTCTGATAGGCATGATCCTTTAGAGAAAGCTGCCTATATGGTTGAATCTTGATGAAAACCCAATCACCTACCTCATAGGACCTTTTAGTTCTGCTTTTGTCTGCTTGCATCTTCATTCTATGTTGAGCTCTTTCTAGATGATGCTTTAGAGCCCTCAAGATAGCTTCCCTAGTCTGCAAACTCCTATCAACAACATCTAATTGAGAGTCAAAGGGCATATATGGAAGGAGTGGAGGAGGCTTCTGTCCATAGACTGCTTCATAAGGGGTAATGTTTGTGGCTGAGTGATAAGTGGTATTATACCACCATTCTGCCAGGGGTAACCATAGTGGACAATCTTTGGGCTTTTCAAATGTCATACATCGCAAATAGCACTCCAAACATCTATTAACAACTTAGTCTGCCCATCTATTTGAGGATGATAGGCAGAAGAAGTTAAGAGTGAAACTTTCTGCAATTTGAATAACTCCTGCCAAAATCTGCTGGTGAAAACCTTGTCCCTATCAGAAACTATGGTCTTGGGCATACCATGTAGCTTAAACACCCCATCCATGAAAACCTGAGCTACATCTAGAGCTGTATAGGGATGTTTGAGTGCCATGAAGTGAGCAGCTTTACTCAATCTGTCCATTACCACCAAAATAACCTCTTTACCCACAACTTTAGGTAGACCCTCTATGTAGTCCATGGAAATGTCATGCCACACCTTTTCTGGAATTGGTAGAGGCTGGAGTAGGCCATGGTATGCCACATTTTCTCCCTTGCACCTTTGATAAGTGTCACACTCCCTTACATGCTTGTAAACATCTTGCTTCATTTTTTTCCGATAGAAATTCTGTTTTATCCTCTTGTATGTAGCAGTGATTCCAGAATGGCCACCCATAGAGCTATCATAATAGAATGTTAGTAGTTGCTTCCTCAAAGACTGGTCAGCTCCTACCATCAATTTACCTTTCCTGCTGAGTATACCCCCAGTGAAAGAATAATAAGGCTTGGGATTAGAAGATGACTGAATACTATGAATTAGTTTTTGCAATTATGGATCTTGATCCCAACTGAGCTTGACAGATTCCAATAACTGGGAAGAAACTCCAGAAATACTGAAGAGTTGAATGGCTTCCCCTTTTCTTGAGAGAGCATCTGCTACAAGATTTTCCTTCCCCTTTTTATAGGATATGGTGTAATCATATCCTAGCAGCTTCACCAACCACTTCTGTTGACTTGGAGTAGTGATTCTTTGTTCCAATAGATACTTAAGGCTATGGTGGTCTGTTTTGATCACAAAGTGCCTGCCCAAAATATAAGATCTCCATTTCTGAATTGCAGTTACCAAAGCCAAGAGTTCCCTTTCATAAACTGACAGAGCTTTGTTCTTCCCTGACAATCCTTTACTAAAGAAAGCTATTGGCTTGTTGTCTTGCATCAGTACTGCTCCAATGCCTTCACCTGAAGCATCAGTTTCTACTACAAACTCTTAGAAAAGTCAGGCAGTGTTAGAACAGGAGCAGAGGTAATAGCCTTCTTCAAAGCTTCAAAGGCTTCAGTAGCCAATGAATTCCAAACAAAGCTCCCCTTTTTTGAGTAAATCATGCAGTGGTCTAGCAATCAAGTCATAGTTCTTGATGAACCTTCTGTAGTACCCAGTAAGACCAAGGAAACCCCTCAATTCCTTCAATGTTTTTGGTTGAGACCAACTCAATACTGCTGATACCTTCTGTTGGTCCATGGCTACTCCCTCATTGCTGATGACATGGCCCAAATAGTCTATCTGTGTAACTCCAAAAGCACACTTGCTTTTTTTGACAAACAACACATGAGACCTTAATAGCTGGAAAGCCTCTTCTAGATGAATCATATGATCTGACAAGCTGGAACTATAAATGAGTATGTCATCAAAGAAAACCAATATGGATTTCCTAAGATAACTATGAAAGACCTGGTTCATAAGACTCTGAAAAGTGGAAGGAGCATTAGTCAAACCAAAGGGCATGACCATGAATTCATAATGACCATGGTGAGTCCTAAATGCTGTTTTAGGAATGTCCTGCTCAAACATCCTGATTTGATGATACCCCGACCTTAGATCCAACTTTGAAAAATATTTGGCTCCACGTAACTCATCTAACAGTTCCTCTATAACAGGAATTGGATACTTATCCTTTACTGTACTGTTGTTCAACTCCCTATAATCCACACACATTCTCCATGTTCCATCCTTCTTCTTCACCATTACAATAGGAGAAGAGTAGGGACTGGTACTGTGCCTTATCACCCCAGAACTCAACATCTCATCTACCATTTTTTCAATCTCATCTTTCTGAATAGTTGGATATCTGTAGGGCCTCTTGTTTATTGGAGTGGTACCTTCTTTTAGAACAATCATGTGATCATGTGCCCTTGAAGGTGGTAATCCTTTAGGCTCCTCAAATATGTCCTTGTACTTTTGCAGAATCAAGTCTAATTCTGCAGTCTTTTCTTGGTCTTAGTCTTGGCCTACTAGTGAAAACAAACCAACAGCTTCACTTGAATTCTCTTCTGCTAGTACCCCCACTGATATCATGCATAACTCTGCTGCCTTAGCAAGAAGCTTGTCCATTCTCCCTGCTTGAATTAACTTAGCAGCAGGAGGTTGGATTCCCCTTAGAGAGATCTTCTTGCCCATGATAGTGAACTCCATTTTAAGTTTCCTGAAATTCCATAGGATATCTCCTAAAGTGATCAACCATTGGATGCCCAGAACCATATTACATCCTCCAATAGGCAATACAAGCATATCAGAGTCAAAGGAGACTCCCTGCATCTTCCAAACCAGTTTGCTAACATAATGGCTTTGCACCTTATTGCCATCAGCTACTGATACTGCAAAAGGATCTATGGCAGTCAGAACACACACTAATTTCTTGGCAGTGTTAAGGTCCAAGAAATTGTAGGTACTACCAGTATCAATAAGTACATGAACTGCCTTCCCTTTGACTGACACTATCACCCTCATGGTCCTAAAATCATGTTCACCATTCATGGCATGCACAGATACATGAGGTAGAATAGATCCTTCTGCATCAGTCTCTAGGCCTTGAGCTAACATGGTTAGCAACTCTGCTGGATCTAACATGACATCTTCCTCTACCTCCACCATTCCCTCTCCTCCTTCTACTTCCATAGAGAAAAATTGCCTTTTCTTCGTGCACACATGTCCCACAGTGTATTTCTCATCACAATGGAAACATAACCCCTTGCTTCTTTTTTTCTCCATCCAGCACTAGTCAAGAGCTTAGGATTTTTGTAAACTGGTTTAGAACTGCTAGGGTAAGAAGGCTGTTGTTTTGGAAAAGTTTGAGAAGGTTTAAAGGGTAGGTGATTCCTTCCTTGAGGAGAGTAGGGTGCAGGCTGAAATCTTTGGAGATTTTTGGGGGTAGGGAGGATGGCATTTGAAAAAAAAAACTTGTTTCTGCACTTCTAATATTTGCTCTTGAATTCTAGCTAAACTAAAGGCTTTGGCTAGAGATCAGGGACCTAACATCTTAACAGGCAGACCAATTTCTGGTTTCAATCCCCTTAGAAAACAACTAACAACATACTCCTCTTGCAACTCGACTCTATTATGTAACTCGTCAAAATTATCAACATAATCTTGAACAGAAGTTACCTGCCTGAGATCCTTGAAATCCCCCATGGAATCATCAAAAAGTTCAGCACCAAATCGAGCATAGAGACATCTTACATACTCGCCCCATCGAGGCCATTCCCTTGTCACTCTAAACTTCATGAAACTTTGATGCCATTGTAAATCTCGACCCTCCAGTTTGCACGAAGCTAACTTGACCTTAGATTCCTCAGGAGTTTCATCCATATCGAAGAATTGTTCGCATTTGTACAACCAATCTTTTAACCCAGTCCCATCAAACCTAGAAATAGCCACACCTACTTGATAATTTCTGGCGAGATTTGGATTCTCAGCAGGTCTGGGAGCTCGAGCTTCTATCCTTTCTTCATTCCTATCCACAGCTGAGCCATTTTGAATAGAATTTCCCCCATTATTAATCATCATTCTTTTGATCTCCTCCAAAGCTTGAGCCATTCTCGACTCTACAGAATTGGTCAGTTCTATTGCAGAATTGACCACAGTATCCATTGATCCTTTGAGAGCATCAACATCCTTGCGTAATTCTGCCATGCGAGTACTGTGATCGCCCATTTCCCGTCCAAGTAATCACTCGCTCTGATACCAATGATACGTTCCAGCAATTATCGAGCTAAGAAAAGAGAAGAAAAGAAACCTAAAGAGTAAAAATGGAAGAATTACTCTTGAACAGAATCTATGGACTCAATAGTGAATTGAGTGTCAATGAAAGAGAAGAGAGAAGACTAGTTTATTGATATTAAACTTCACAAAAACTGAACAATACAGCAGAAGGATCAAAACTATATACTAATACATTTGGCGGGAAAGTTAGTTATAATTAACTTTTGGAAGTCACATGCCCTAACAACCTTCCAACTAACCTCTAACTACCCAGCTTCTTATTCCTTGCGTGAGCTACTGATTTAACTAACTACTGATTTAGTAAGTGGACTAATAGGATCGTAACATCTTCTCTCAGACCCACATTTCATCAAAGCTTACCTCAATTTTTATGCCCATAAGAATGAAAAGAAACTCATTTTTACCTCTCGTTCAAATTCTATTCACACTATCACGTTTAACCACAACTACCAAAATGGAACAATTGATGCCATTTCAAGAAACCTTAATTTACAGCAGCTCCCAGATAACTAGGTTAATGTGCTTGGCTCATGTAATGGCTTAGTCTCGATGATGAATGAGGATAATATCAATTTTTTGATAAACCCCACAACCTTAAAGTACCATAGAATTCCAACCTTTCATTTGGCTCTTCCTGTGCCAGATAGCCTTAGCATGTATGGTTTAGGGTATGATTCTGCTGGCGATAATAAGTTGGTTAATCTTTCTCGATATTTTGAACGTAGATGGGATCTTGCCTCTACTTTTGTGGATGTCTACTCTGTGAAGACGGGTCTATGGAGGAGATTTGAGAGTTCAACTCATGATCATATAAGGCTTTCGGTTGGTTCTGGTTCTGGGGTTTTGGTAAATGGAGCTTTGAATTGGATGGCTCAGAAAGATTCCGATCCTTCATTTATAATTGAAGCTTATAATTATTCATGTATAGTTGTTGCTCCTCCTACATGTATAATTGTTGCTTTAATCATTTTTAGTGACTTTTGCACAAAATTTTTAAATTGGTCCATATTTGATTCAATTAAATGAACCCTTTTATAGTTTTGTAAATGGTAATTCTTTTTTCCTCGAAGAGTGTTGTGATGATAATTCTTTAGTCCTCAAGAAAAGTTAATTGTATAAATGAAAGAAAAAACTTGGATTTGTAGATTGAACTAATTCAGCATCATAGAATGTGGCGTCTTACGGAAAAGGATAGTTCAATTTTGAGCACACGTCGTCTTGAAAAGGAATAGTTTTAGATGTTTTTACTGTTCTTTGAATCATGACACTTATCTCACAATAAGATCATGTAAAATTAGTCATGGCCACTCCCATGCTTACTGCTTTTAAGCAATTTGACTTTAAAACAGTTAAAAATGAGACAAAGAAGCTTTTGTGAAACAAGAGAATTAGCTGAAGATATGTATTTTCATTTACAGAATTAGCTGCATATATATACAGATGCTAAGAATCAATCTAAGCCTAATTTTAAGCTTCCATAATCGTGATCCACATTCTGTGGGATTTGATTTACAATTAATAAGGAAAGTGAATATACTACATTAACACAATATATTTCTTAACACTCCCCCTCAAGTTGGAGAGTGAATATCATGAAGTCCCAACTTGTTGCGTAGTGTCACAAATTGATCCTTTCCCAAGGCCTTTGTAAAGACATCTGCCAACTGGAAGTGTATCGGTACATATGATGGACTAATCATTCCAGCTTGCAGTTTTTCGCGAACTATTTGACAATCTATTTCAATATGTTTAGTACGTTCATGAAGACGGGATTCGCTGCAATATGCAAAGCAACTTGATTGACACAGAATAGTTGTGTAGGAGCTGCTTGTGGGACTTTTAGATCTTGCAGAATGTAACGTAACCAAGTAAGCTCCAAGCATGTGTTAACCATTGCTCGATACTCTGCTTCGGCGGACGATCTTGAAACTTTGATTGTGTCTTGGATTTCCATGAGATAAGGGAATTACCAAGAAAAATGCAATATCCTGTAACTGATCTTCTTGTGGCACGACAACCTCCCCAATCTGAATCACAAAAGGCCTTTAAAGTGAGATTATTGCAGGAAGAGAATAATAAACCTTGCCCTGGAGTACCCTTGATGTATTTGGGGATCCGTATAGCAGCATCCCAGTGAGGCTTTTGAGTCTCATGCATGTATTGACTTAATGTACGAACAAAGTAAACTATGTCAGGTCTCGTAACCATAAGATATATCAATCTGCCAACTAATCTTCTATACTTGGTTGGATCATTCAATAATTCTCCATCAGTGGGAGTAAGTTTCAGATTTTGTTCCACTGGAAACTTGTCTTGGCGTGCTCCTAGTAGACCAGAACCTTGTAAAATATCTAATGCATATTTTCTTTGAGACATGAAAATACCTTTATGTGTTCGAGAAAATTCAATGCCCAGAAAATATTTCAAATTTCCAAGATCTTTGATGCGGAAGCATTTGAGAAGAAAGCTTTTGAGACGCTCGATTTCATGAAGATCATTTCCTGTGAGAAGTATATCATCAACATAGACCAGGATTGCAGTAAATGAAGTACCTTGAGCCTTGAAGAAAAGAGAATAATCGGCTTTTGATTGTTCATAACCAGCCTTTTGAATAGTTTCTGAAAATGTAAGAAACCAATTTCTTGATGCCTGTTTAAGACCATATAGAGATTTGTGTAGCCGACATACAACATTCTCCCCCTGTCGGCGAAGACGGGGTGGAGGTTCCATATACACTTCTTCATTCAAGTCACCATGAAGGAACGAATTTTGGACATCTAATTGGTAAGCAAACCAATTGCGCCCGGCAGCAACAGTAAGAAGGCAATGAAGTGTAGTAAGTTTAGCTGTTGGAGAAAAGGTTTCCTGATATCAATACCCTCTACTTGAGTGTACCCTTTAGCTACAAGACGAGCCTTATATCGATCAAATGTACCATCTGATTTGTACTTGATTTTGTAGACCCATTTGCATCTGATGGCTTTATGGCCAGCAGGAAGAGGTACCAAACTCCATTTATTGTTTTGTTGGAGTGCTTCTAATTCTGTATTCGTGGCTTGCTTCCAGTGAGGATCAATAACAACTTGTTCATAAGTGGTAGGCTCGGTATGACATGTAATGTTAGCTAAAAAGGTACAATTTGCAGATGACATACGAGAGTATGAAATAAAATGAGAAAGAGGATAACGAGTACCTGATTCAGAACTTGGTGTCGAGTTGGAATGATTGGCTTGTGATGACAGTTTGTAGTCTTTATGCCATGTCGGAGGTTTCTTAACACGGAGGGATTGTCTTGCAGGAGCTATAGAAGGATCTATAGAGTTGGAAACATGTGTTGTCAGCCTGGTTGAGGGACTAAGTGCACTATCAGGTGCACTAGTAGGTTTAGCCAGAGGTGAAGTTGCAGAAGTTGTAGGTTGGTCATGTGAATTATCTGATGCTTCAGTGAGTTCGGGTGGATTCAATGATTCAGGAGATATAGTAGAATTATCTGTATCAAAACACTCCACATGTTGAGGTTGGTGAGATGAAATGTTGGTGGAAGATGATGGTATATGCTGCAAATTTTCTGTGAGGTCTGAAGAAAAACTATGCATTGCAGAATCAAGATTTGGTGATATTGAGAACGGAAAAGTGGTTTCTAAAAATTTAACATCTCGGCTCACAAAAATTATTTTTCTATCCAAATCATAAAGTTTGTAACCTTTTTGACATGTAGGATACCCAACAAAAATACAACGTTTGGCACGAGAATCAAATTTATGAGTGGGATGAACAACTGTGGCGTAACAGAGACAACCAAAAACTTTCAAATGATCAAGTGATGGTGGATGATTATACAATAATTCAAAAGGTGATTTGGAAGATAATAATGGCGAAGGAAGTCTATTGATAAGATAGACCGCGGTCAACACGCATTCGCCCCAAAAGGTGAGAGGTAAGTGAGATTGAAAACGTAATGCTCTCGCAACAACTAAGATATGACGATGTTTACGTTCAACTACTCCATTTTGTTGAGGAGTTGAAACGCAAGTTCGTTGACATTCGATACCTTGCGACTGGAAAAAGTTTTTCATGGATAAAATTTCTCCGCCGTTATCTACTCTTATGGTTTTGACTGAGGCATCAAATTGGGTATGAGAAAATGCAACAAAAGATTTTACTTGATCTTGGGTATCCGATTTTTTTTTCATAAGAAACACCCAAGTGCACCTTGTAAAATCATCTACAATAGTAAGAAACAAACGTGCCCCTGAATGTGTAGGCACCCTATGTGGACCCCAAATATCACAATGTAAAAGATCAAATGGATTATGAGTTGATATTGAACTTGATGAAAATGGAAGTCTAGTTTGTTTGGCCATAGGACAAACAGTACAGTTATTCTCAAAAGATTCATTATGAGAAGGCAATAATGGAGAAACTAATTTAAAACGAGATGGTGACGGATGGCCAAGGCGCATGTGCCATACATTTGAGGGTTGAGAAACTTGATGAGAGGCGGGTATCTTTTGCAAGGGAGACATGTAATAGAGGCCGCCACGCTGTTTACCCAAGCCAATCATCTTTCCCGTAGCCAAGTCCTGTAAAGTACAGAAAGTGGGAAACAACATGGCACAACAATTCAAAGCATTAGTGACTTTGCTTGGAGACATCAAATTTAAGCGAAAAGAGGGAACACATAAAACATCATTTAAGGTGATCTCAGAGTTGAAAGGTATAGTGCCTGTGCAACTGATAGAAGCTGAGGATCCAGTGGGTAAGTTAACAATTGGTATTGACGGGGATTCTGTTTTGGTAAAAAGTGTGGAATCAGAAGCTATATGATCAGTAGCTCCACTATCCAAAATCCATGGTTTACTAAATATGGAATTAATTGAAACATTTGGAAAAAGAGAAGAACCTGCTGCATTTGCATAAGCATCGGTATTACCAGTGGCATTATTTTGTGTCATCATAGATAAAGCACGAGCGATTTGTTGAAGTTGACTTGTAGAAAGTCCATGTGAAGAACTGTTGCTCTCTTGAGTATGAATACCATGTGAAGTTTGGGAAGAATCCATAGCATTAGCAGATGGAAGGGTATTGTGCAAATTACCTTGGCCCCTACGTGAGGGTTGCTGGCCATCTTGGTTGTTTGATTTGTTTGAAGCCCAAGTGCCATTTTAAAACTTACATCTATCTTCTGTATGGCCCTTTTTGTCACAATAATTGCAATGAAATTTAAGAGTTCTGCAATTTTCAATTGTATGTCCCTCTCTGTTGCAGTGTTCACAATAATTATTTTTGAACTTGTTTGAAAAATTGATTGGACGACTTTGAACTGTAGCAGCAATGGAAAAAATTTCAATTGATTCCGACGACATACCTCACTACATTTCTTCTTGATAACAAGAGAGTAGGCTTGACGTACATTCGGTAATGGAGACATCATGAGAACATTTGAACGGACAACATTGTAAGTGTCATTGAGGCCCATAAGAAATTGCATTACGCGATCTTCTTCCATCTGTTCACCGTGTGCTTTCATCTGGTTGCAAGTGGGGATAGATCGATGCGTGTCTAATTCATCCCAAAGATCTTTGAGTTTTGTAAAATATGCAGAGACCGACATTGTACCTTGTGAAAGAGACGCCAATGACTTTTGGATCTGATAGATAGCTGGTGCATTCTTTTGCGAGAATTGATCTCTAAAATCCTCCCATACTTGATAAGCGGTCTTAGCATGAATGACTCCTTTGGCTAGATCGGGCTCCACTGAATGTGTAAGCCATGATAGAACCACGCTGTTACATTGATTCCATTGCGCATATTCTGTTGGTTGTTCCGTCTCTAGAGGTGGTTTGATAGTTCCGCTGGTAAAGCCAATTTTGTTCTTGGCTGTGAGGGCATGTATCATGGATTTACTCCATGATGGATAGTTGGTGCCATTCAGTTTCACTGGAACAAGCATATGATTGGGGTGATCTGAAGGATGAGCAAATTATGGATTAGATTGGTCCAAACCAAGGCTTTGCTGGATGGTTTTTGAAGTATCAGATTGGTAGATTGGTGTTTCGTCTTTGTCGTTCACCATTTTCTCGAGAAAATGGTGGCTGCTCTGATACCAAGTTAAAAATGAGACAAAGAAGCTTTTGAGAAACAAGAGAATTAGCTGAAGATATGTATTTTCATTTACAGAATTAGCTGCATATATATACAGATGCTAAGAATCAATCTAAGCCTAATTTTAAGCTTCCATAATCGTGATCCACATTCTGTGGGATTTGATTTACAATTAATAAGGAAAGTGAATATACTACATTAACACAATATATTTCATAACAAAAACTGTTCTGTAAACAGAACTAATCTTATGTTGTATGCCTCCTTGATTGTATAATTGTCAAGATCTATCTCTACAAAGACTCCAAAAGATAGATATCAGGTTGCATTACAGCTTAAGAAGCTAACCAACTTTTGCTTAGTGGTTCATCGTATTTCTATCTTAAATAAGTTAGCAAAAGTTACAACCAAACTCTTTTAGGCAGAAGCTTGTTATTTTCTGGTTGTGATTTACTTGCTACAATCAGTATTATGAAAGGCGAAAAGCACAAAAAAGCTCTAAGGTTCGTTGGGGCTTTAAGCGCAAAGCTCAAATAAAGCGTGGGCTTTAATGAAAAAAGGTGCAACTGGAGAAAAAGTAAATATATATATATATATGGTCCAAGACTAATAATTATAAGCATGAATAACAAATATATGGACAAAGAAATTAGAAATAGATTACGATAAAGTGAAATATCAATGGTTTAATGTTGCATTTTCATGATTACACTCATTGGTAAGGAATATTGTGCCTTAGAGCCTTGATGCGATACTAAAGCGTCCACAAAGCGAGGCAAAGCGCTCAACATGTTTTGAGTCTCGCTTCAGGGCTTAAGCGCGCCTTTGACAACACTGGCTACAATAGGATGGCTTGTAGCTGATTGTCTTCTTCCTCAAGTAAATTATTCAATAGCCACTGTTTTTCTTTACCTAGGAAACCTGTGTTTGCAATTTTGTTAACTAATTCAGCAGCATTATTAGGATGCACTTTTAGTAAACTCCGTCACCTTCTAAGAAATGGTTTTCGTATTCATAGATCTTTGTTATTACATGCTTTGCCATTTGCTTCCGTTGCCTATTACCTGTTGTTGCTATTATATGTTTATTGCTTCTTTTTCATTGTTCTTGAGCCAAGGGTCTACCGGAAACAACATCTCTACCTTATTTAGATAGAGGTGAAATCTGCGTACACATTACCCTCCACAAACCCTACTTGTGGGATCCCACTGGGTTTGTGTTGTTGTTGTTTGCTTTTTCAGAAGCTATTATCATGTTACAAGATACGGTCTATAGATGAACAGCTTAAAGAATCTCCCCACCTTTCCCCTCCCCTTCCGCCCCTCTCCTGGCCCAAAAGAGAGAAATGGTTTCATCAATTAAAGAGTTGGATTATTGAGGGTACATGGTGGTATTTCATGCATTTACATAGTAGCAAACAGAAAAAAAACTACACAAACCCGGTCGGTGAATGTATCACACATGTCTTTTATACACATTTTATCACTTAACTCTAGTTAATTTGTGTATATTTTCATTTCTCAATTTATCTTCAACTGTGGTAAATTCATGTGATTTGGTTTAAACACCAAGTATGCATGAGTATTTCTCATAGAGAATTGACACTTGTTCTATGCCTTGCACAGGAACTAATCTACTCTAGCAGAATTGGACATTAAGAGAGCTGCACAGAAGCCTGGATCTTAATATATTTTAATCCCAAGGGTGTTTATCCTTAATTTATTATGTTATGACATTGATACTATTTTAAAGAAATTTTTAACTCCTATAGCAAAGGTTAACACCTTATTTATTTTAAATAAATAACATTTTAAAAAATTATATTCTATAGATACCTTTTAATGTTTAGAGCAAAATATCTAATTTTGGTTACCTCCTACCCCTAAGCCACTAAATACGCTATTCAGTTACACTATTTTCTTTCTCTTCTACTTTGATACATCTCATTCTCTTCCCCCATTCCCTACAAGCACGATGCTCAATCTCAAAATTTCTCTCACCCACATCACCTACCATTAGTCAAAAACCCCACGCTCTCTCCTCCCTCTTGCACTTTCAGACGACCCTTCAGATCTTCAACATAAGGGAAGGAAGGTCCAAAACACAGAAACAGAGAGAAAAAGAGAGAGGACGCAGTAGATTTCGAGCCATATGAAGATTCATCTTCATTATTATTTAGTAAATAGATGAAGAATCAGAGTCAAAATTAAAACTTGGAGACAGTGAATTTTGAGCCAGGGGAAGACAATATGAGGGACGAAGATCTGCTGGGTTTATGGTTTTTGCGATGAAAAGAGTTGCTGGTTCTTGGTTTTTACGCTGTATTTCCATGTATTTCATTGTATTCATTATCTTTTTTTCATTGTAATTCAATGTATCTCGTTGTATTTCATTGTATTCACTGTCTTTTTTTTCATTGTATTTCAATGTATCCCGCTGTATTCTATGTGTTTCATTGTATTCATTGTCTCGCTATATGCCAGAATATATTCATATGTTTTTTTTAATTAATATAATTTATGTATTCAGATGTATTATATAATTTCTCTGAAGATTGTTATGTTTTTGGGGTATTTTTCGGTTGAGAATCTTTTTTATAACTGAAAATACAAATTTTGTGTGTTATAATTGAGTTTGTTGAGTCTATTATGTTAATTGATTCACTTTCCGTTTAAAAACAGTGTAATCCCCTGTTTCACGCCGTGACTACAGTCGAATACAATAATCTGTCCAGCTGTAATCCCATGTTTCACGCCATGAATACAGTCGAATACACTCGAATACAACAACTGATTAGCTGGACTTCCCTGATTCACGCCTATTTTTGCTACTGTATTCACGAATACAGTAGCTTAAATACATCAAATACATCTTATAACAACAAAAAACGTATCTACAATCCGTAATATAGCAAATGGTATCTATAGATAGCTAATTACCACTAAAAGATAGTGCTTTATTAAAATTTCTCTATTTTAAATCTTTGAAAAATCTTTGAAAAATGATTGGAGGGTGTTCCAAGAAGACTTGGAATTGTGATTTCTTTCTTAGGGTGTTGGTACTATCTTTTTGACCTTTATTGATGCTAATGTTTTACTGTTTTTTTTCATCTTTATTATTATTCAGAGGAAGAGGAAATGCAGGGGTTCTAACCTTTCATTTTCATTATGGACGGTTGATCCAAGATTCTTAATCAAAATTTTCAGCTTCAACAGTATATGAGTTGAAATTGAAATAGGCAAAAAAGTTAGCAGAAGCTAAAGTTGCACAAAAAATTTGCGAACGTTATAATTTTCTGCATAGAAACCAACACTTCACTCGAAATACACCTTCACATCACTATTTCAAAATTTCACGTGAAATGCAAATTTTGCAAACACTCTTTGCCCAAACTAATATTTAGTTCAGCACTGGAATATTGAATCGATTATTTCATGGCCAGATAGGCCCGCCTCTTCTACGTATATTCACATCAAAATATTCAAAGAGTCCCACCTCAATCCCTTAAAGTTGTTAAGCACAAAATAATATCTGCAAATGCTAATGTGTATCTGCTCTTTTGAGGACAACTGATGTCAGTAACCATAAAGTTATAATGAAGTCCACGGTGATTACCCTAGAACTTGTACAAAGTAACAAGTGAAGCTATACAGCTAATACAGTTTTTGTGCTTACAGAGCACAATTTGTATAATACATCAAGAATGCCGCAAAGCATGTCTCCCAGTAGGCATTTGGTCTTAACGGTCAGAAACTAACCACTATCTCTCCACTCCATGCTGTTCAATTTCTTGAGATGCAGTGGTAGCAAAGGCAGGAATATTTGCCAGTTCCTTGATATGCAATTGTAGCAAACACAGGAACATCATACAAGACCAGTCACAGCAGGGGACCCAAGTGCTGGAGATTGCGCCTATATTCTGTAATTACAGACAGTTCATTTGGTTAAAAGGTGTACATGCAATTAAGAGTTGTCAAACAGACACCTCCGAATTGTCATAGCAAATTCACCAACTTTTCTGGGGTGCAGGAAGGTTGCACATAGACCAAGACACACAGCAAAACCAGTGATTACAAACACAAGAGTACGAGACGTCAAAACTGTCTTTCTAACCAAGAAGCCACAAGGCTTCCCTGACTGCTCCTTCACTCTCAATGCCAATTCTGCATCCAAAAGTGGGACTGTTGAAGTGCTTTCCCAATAAGCCGAACCAAACTCTAGGTTATGCTCATGTGGTACCTCCACGTCCTACATATTATGAAGACAAAAATATATTTAGCATCAGGTATGAGTCATCACCCTCTGAAAACACGTCTTAGTATAGTAAGAACAAAAAAATGAGCTGCTAAGAGACATTCTGAAGGTAAAAAGCGATTCATATACTCATTACTCGAATCTGTAACGTAAAATAAATGACCATTTTTATTTACCACAAGTGCATAGAATATGTAGTTAAAAGCGAAAAGTGCAAAAGAGTAACAAGATCCATGGGGTTTGAAGCGAAAAGCAAGAAGTGAAGCGCACTCGTCTTTGAAGGGAAGTACACAATTAACAACATTAAAAGATATCAAATATATATGAACACCATAATGATAGAATTTCAATTAAAACAACTAATTTCAGTATCCAATATAAAATAATACCTATATTAATCCAACTCCTCAAAGTTGAGATTCAAAGAACCTACTATTTTAGTGGGAATCACTTTGTGCGTCACGGTTTAAAGCGCACAACTTCATCCATGAAGCGATAATCTCTCGCTTTGCATCCATCAAGAGATGAACCGAACATTACACTAAGTCAAGATCATTTTAGATGGGGCTAGGCTTGCTCATGTTCAAGCCTAGCGAAGAAAAAGTTCACCTTGGGCTTCAAAGCCGAGGCATATTTTATGTACCAACAGTATGATTCACCAGCATAAAGAAAAAGTAAAAGATTATTCTAAATTAAAGCATTTAATTAGAAACTAATAGCAGAACTCAATTCTGCAACATACTCTAAAATGATATGGCAATGGTAGAAATGAGATAGTCACCTCATTGTTAACTGGAAAAACAGATTTCATATGATTTTGGAAGATTTCAGTAGAAGTATTTGCCTCCTGCATAATTTGTCCCGCATCTCCCGCACAATACTCCTTTAGCTGCAATCTTTCCTTGAGCAGATTATTTTTCTCATAAATATTCCTCTGAAAAAGCCTCATTTCAGCATCAGTGATGCCAGCTAACAAGTTTTTATTCACCATATTTTCAAAATAAGGCAATACTCTTTTCAAAATAATAGTCGACTGACTTTCCATTAAAACGTTCAACAAATAATTAAATCTCTGCATCTGTACAGACGCCACAATCTGAACATTTTCTGATGAAGGCTCCCTTAGTAACCATGCCACATCCAACATAAATTCTGAGAATTCTGATTTTCTACACGTGGAATCTTCACATGGAGAACAAACAGCAGTGTGTTCTGACCCTCCAGAACAGAACTTCCGTTGTATTTCTTCCATTTCTGCACAAATATCTTTTTCCGCAATGAGGATGGGAATGAAGTTAGATAAACCAGATTCATTCTCGACCTACAAAATAGACCAGGTTGAATCTTTTACAGTCAAGATTAGTGAAACACAATGATTCGTGAAAGGAAGGTTCTAGCGGTAAAGTAAAGAAAATCCTCCCTTCTTGCTTCCTTAGGGTACGCCCCCTAAGGTTCAAGGAATTAAATACATGAACAACTGAAATCTTGCGCACTCTTTATTACTCCATCAGCGCACATATTCAGTTGGGATAGACCTTTACATTAGAAAGTTAAGGTTCATTTCAATGAAAACTAGCAGTCTAGCACCAAGAAAGTGCTGTAGTAAAAGATACAAAAGTATAGCTAGCACCCCTGCCATTTTTTAGATATAAATGATGTTGATGTTAGGGCCAATTTGCATGCACCTCGACTAATCCGGGAGACAACTTTCTACAGCTCACAAATACATGTGCCGGGTAAGGCTGCCCGCAAAGGCAGGAACAAATAGACTCATACTGATTGTTTTAACTAGGATTTGAACCTGGAATATCTGGATTGTCACTCGTATGCCTCAACTCAACCATACACTAGAAGATCATAATTAGCCCTTCTCTTTCAGTGTAGGGAGCATATAAAATCAATAAATGCGACAAGAATTTTCTCAAAAAAAGTGCGACAGAATTATTCTAACACCTTTTTAAGAATGGTCTTTTTCAAACGTTATTCCTCTAGTAGTTTCCGTTAAGAATATATACAAGAAAATACAATGACATGATGCACGGTGCTAATTATAGGAATGATACATTTATAAGCAAACATACAAAAATTGGAAAGAGGATAAAAGAAGATATTTGGTTAGAACTTCTACCTCAACAAAAGCGGGGCCAAAAAGATCTGCTTCAGTCCTAGGGACATGTATCTTTAATAATTGATGCTCCATGCTACCAGATCCACCTTCATTTTTACTACATGAAGGTGTAACACTGATATCATTCCCTAAATACCTTCCCCCAAACGACACAAGAAACCTGCCAAGGGCATCAAAATGTTAATTTATAAAAAATGATCAAAAATAATATGAAAAAAAAAGGGCAGCCCGGTGCACTAAGCTCCCGTTATGCGCAGGGTCCGGCGAAGGGCCGGATCACAAGGGTTTATCGTACGCAGTCTTACCCTGCATTTCTGCAAGAGGCTGTTTCTACGGCTCGAACCCGTGACCTCCTGGTCACATGGCAGCAACTTTACCGGTTACGCTAAGGGTCCCCTTCAAATAATATGAAAGATAACACGAATTGTCCTCTAAAGCCTCCATGAGGTAATAGAGATACTAGACTAATAGGTGTTTGATTTATTTCAGCTTTTCAAAAACAAAACAAAAGAGTTTACAGAATTTTATAGCGGAACTGCAACTATCTATGAGCATAGCAAACTTGCAAATGCAGATATGAGTGGATATTCACCCAGGGGGGGGGGGGGGGGGGGGGGTATTTGGTAA